TATTATGTAATTTGTTCTTGTGCTTTATAATAATTTTTTTCTTTGAATGCATATCTATTAATAAATCTAATAAAAAAATTTTTTTTAAAATGTAAAAATGGGCCCTTTTAACTTGGGATACCCCATATTCAAAACTATATATATAGTATATATATACATTATAAATAATATATAATATTTTATGCCATGGCACAAATTTTAACAAAAGGCATGCCCTGTAGCATGCCAAATTTTTTTGGTGTGCCAGACACCTTATTGCAGACATTATTGTAATTTAGAATTTCTAATAACAAGATCAAGGTTTATAAACTGGTCTACTAAACCAGTTCTAATTCAATCTGGTTTCAAGACCGGTTTGCTTTAGCCAATAGAGATAGGAGTGCAAAATTTAGACATGCTTCTGATTCTATAAGAAAGTATATAATAAAATAAATTAAAATTATATATTGCAAAGAGGATATTATCTGTTTCTTTAAATATAATTAACTATAAATTTAAGATATTTCATCGCCTTTTTATTCTATTTGTAAAAATAATTATTGTAATCTGGTATAAATGCTACTTTTTATCATCAGAATTTAGTTGCTTGTTTTAACAAGCACGTATCAAATATGAACCTACCAGACTATAGGGAAGTCTTTATCTTCTGAATTAATAGAGTTTTTCAATATGTATATTTTCTTGAAGTTGTTTAAACAATTTTGATAAGAAAGTCATTATGATAGATCTTTGAAATATAAATGTTATATCACATATACAGTACTTAAACGTTAAGTATAAATATAATTTACATTGAATTATGTGATTACACATATTTGGTATCCTTACTATGGATCGAATTGGTCTTAATTTACCATACAAGCGTGAAATAACGCCCACCTGCGCGTTATTTCGAGTACGCGCATGTGCATTATTTTCGAAATAAGTATTTGTTTATAATAAGAATTAAAAGATGCTCCGGGACTGCGTATGTTATTAAGTAAATATTTTTTGGGTTCTTCAGATCGAGAAGATTCTAACGGCAGTAAAATCATCAAAAAAGGTACAATAGTTCATCCGCAATGACTCTTCAAAGTTTAGCAACATTTGTTTACCTTAGTTTACATCATGTACACAAACGTTGCGAAACTTTGCGGGCGAACTACTGGACCGTTTTTAATGATTTTACTATCGTTAGAATCTTCACTATCTGAAGAACTAATTTGATAAAGACGAAAAATAGGTTTACTTAATAACAAATCCAGATTGGTTCACTTTTTATTTATTTATCATTTTTTTTATTTTTTTTATATTTATTTATAGGGATGCGCGTTAATCCGGGACGCCCATGGGCGCTAATTTGAAGCTGCATATGCTATTTTAAGGGTATCTAATTTTCAGAGCGTTATATCGCGAAAATACGGTATGGACTGGGGATTACTTAAACTGGTTCAAAAGGCTCTGCAGGACCGTTACATCACTAACTACAATTATTCTGGTTAGAAATTGGTGTAGTAGAGAATAATGTTATTTGAATTTTCTTATTTGTACGCCACAATATTTTTATGTTATTAAAGCCAGGCTCTGGAAAACCAGCACAAAGTGTCATCATTTTCATTACTTTTAAATAATTCTCCATCAATATAATCACTCACTAAGATTGTTTCGGAAAAAAAATACCAGATGCTTTGATGAAAACAACAAAAATCACGTAAATTTTAATCAATCGTAAAATAATCAGCTACATTGTGAAATTTTCATATCTGGGCCATCATGCTTTTGACCATATGTCCGATTATTATTTGGATTAAAATCATATCATTTACTTCAGTAGTTGTGGTTTTCCTTATAGCCTTGGTTTTGTCTTTCCCTATAGGCGTAGTCCTTTTGGTGATATGGTGTATTTTTTATATTTGAGTATATCATATGGTGTAGCTGGATTTTCATACGGGAAAATTTGCAGACGCGAGTTTTAGAGGAAGTACAGTATCAACATTATTGTATGTTGTATTTCCTAAACAAATGATTCTTTAAAAATTCACATCATTTATTTTTTTTAGGAATTTGCGAGGTGAGGATAAGTGATACTACAGTAAAACCGCACCCTCTATAAGTGCTTCTCTTATTGATCTCTAAGTGCACATTATTAAAACTTGGTTCCAAGTTATAGAGGTTTTACTATAGTACGATTAATTGTATAAGAAAATCGAGACCTATGGTCGTTACATTAAAGCTATGGAGAAAGAATTGAAACAAGCATCGGAGACCGGTCATTTCCTCAGCGAATACGATAATTAGTTAATTGATTAAAAACAAAATCACTGACAATCGATACATAAAAGCATCAGGAGCTGGATTACATGTAATTGGGATGCAAATAGGTTTTGCAAAAAATGTTCAAGTAATCTGGCTTAAAGGTTTGTAATTTAGTTATGCATTTACAAGATTTCACAATATACTGTTTAATAACTAATACTTTCCAAATAGAATGTTTCGATGAAAGAGTGCTATCTGAAAAACAAGCGTATATCAATCTTAGGAGAGAAGCAAAAGGCGTGACTGATCTGACTCTTCGTCTCGGCTATCAACATGGTCGGCCATTGGATATTACGCCTGATAAAAATATTCTCTATCGGAACTTTCAACCAGTATATCAGTAATGATCCCTAGTAAAGTCATTTTTGCAATGGCGGATAGACAAAACTATTGAAGAATGTTAATCTTTCGTATTTTATCAATGAAGCAATCACCAATTTTTTATTTAAGAAGTACATGTGGCTTATGACCTAATAAAATAATACTTAATATGATCGTTATTCATAGGACTTCATTAACAAACTTTGGTATCTCTATGCTACATCTAATCCCCATACTCTCCCCAATGACAATTATAGCAGGAGGGGTCCCATCTTCGCGATAGGTCCATTCCTCAACTGAACCAACTGTGGATTGTTCTCATTCCACCATGCAACGAGTTTTCAGAAGTAGTGGGTCTTTTTTTTTGAGGTTGAACATATACTTAGGGTCGGGAATTTGTGAGTGTATTTGTAAAATCTCTTGAGAAAACTTAATGTTGGAATGAAACACAACAATTAGCAATTTTCTCCAAAAACATGACATTGAATCAGAATCAATAAGATACGTTATAGTTATTGTACGGGTCTGGCGTAACGACCCATGCGTCACCTTAAATACACGCATTAGATAACAGCGTAAATAAAAAGAATCTTAATTCTTTTGTACAAAATATCAAACAATTGAATCAAAGTTCAAGCATAAACCTAATAATGTCAAATCTCATTCATAAGAATTTTTTAAACAAACAAAGCTTTATCCAAAAGTTATAAAGAAAGCGAAAGTTTAATGGCATAACCTCGTTCAGTGAAAATTTTATAAAGAAAGTAAAACAAAATAACATATGATTCAGTCTAATTAGAATTTAAAGATTACAAAAATTAATAATGTGCGAATTAGTCTGATAAAGAATTTTAAAGAAAGTGAAGATCTAATAATGTACAAAAATCCAATAAATAAAGAATAGCGAAGATCTAATAATGTATGACTTGTCCAATAAAATTTAAAAAAATCAATATGCGATTCTGTCTAATAAGAATTTAAAGAAAGCAAAAGTCCTAATAATACCTAACCAAGACAATTTTAAAAAAAGCGAAAACAGATTAATGCCGACATCACCCAGTAAAAATTTAAAAAAGACCAAATAACGCGAATGTTCCAATATTTTTAAAAACATGAAGGCAAACTACTTTAATAATAAAAATAATTAATTAAATCGGAACACTTTCATATGGGTGCCGCCAAGTGAAAACCAGGAATTCTAAAAATAGATTTCTTTAGACAACGGAATACGGACTATGAATGATACTAATATATGATCAATATTCTAGTCAGGTCGGTTAAAAGCCCGCATTCCGTTATGTAAAGAAGTCTATTTTTAGAATTCCTGGTTTTCACTTGGCGGCACCCATATTTTTATCAAGAGGAATGATTTGCGTACATCGGTTTCGTGTAACTTCACGTACATCAATTTTTTTTAGCCAATAAAAATTGCTGCGCCTCTAAAATCCGAAAATTTCGGGTGCTAGTCCTGCAATTTCATTTGCCAAAAAAAATTGATGTACGTGAAGTTACACGAAACCGATGTACGCAAATCATTCCTCTTTTATCAAATATGAAAGTGTTCCGATTTAGTTATTTTTTAAACATATGTCAATAAATGAGTGAAAAAAGCACGGGTTGTAACATAAGACCCGTATAATAAAATGCGGATGCTGTGCTTAATTGTTAATGCTTTAGATTCTCCAGTTACTATTTTCTTCACCAGGCGAGTAGTAGGACAAGTCATCCTCTGAAAATAATTCAAATAGTTGTATTCTCAATACCTCGTATCTGATTCTTGTTAGTTAGATCCGCAACGTTAACGTTATTTTCCTCTAATGGGTTTTGGTCGGTTTCTCTGGCTGGTGATATTCATTAGTATTATTAGTGGAGTTAGTCGTCACATGACATAACCGAAATTTTATTGGCTAAAAGTTTGAGATTTGCCTTCCTTCCCATTCATCTAAAATTTTTTAAACTTGAGCGAAGTTATCTCGATACCCACCAAGCCAAGTTCGATGAACTTTTTTTGTTTAAATTCTACAATATGTAGATTTCAAATAGAAAAAAGTTTATTGAATTTGACTTCGTGATTGTCGAGATATATTCTCTCAAAGATTTAAAAAATTCAAACCGTCTATCAAAATAAGAACTATGCAAACTTTTATTTAATTCTACAAATCTGTAGATTCAAATAAAAAAGAAGTTCAACGAATTTGGCTTAGTGGTTGTCGAGATATCTTCGCTCAAAGTTTTAAAAAAAATTCAAACCATCGATAAAATAAGAACCATGCCAAACTTTTCTTAAACTTTGAGCAAAGATATCTCAACAACCACCAAGCAAAATTCGATGGGGGGTTTTTTTTTAATTTAAATTCTAAGAATCAGTAGAATTCAAATAAAAAAATTATCAAATTTTGCTTGGTGGTGTCGAGATATCTTCGCTCAAAGTTTAGGAAAAAGTTTGGTGCAGCTCTTATTTTTGAATTTTTTAAACTTTGAGCGAAGATATTTCGACAACCACCAAGCCAAATTCGATGATTTTTTTATTTTAATTTTCAAGATTCTTAGAATTTAAATAAAAAAAATACTCGGCCTAGGTTAGAGTTAGTTTAAGGTTAGGGTTGGAGTTAATTTAGGCCAGTTTGTTTAGTTCTGGTAAACAAATGACGTCATGATTAGGGTTTTTATTATACTGGTATAATAGAAATGGTAGTATAATACCAGGTATAATACCGTATAATACTGTATTAGGGATTGGAATCGGTTTAGTCGACTACTATGTTTAGTCGACTAATTAGTCGACTAAACATAGTAGCTTACTAT